CCTTAATTTTTTGTTTTCCAAATTTTCTTTTAAAAGGGGGTTTGGGGAAAGGTTCGAATAAAGAAAATATACCATTTAATTTTCCCAGTATGCTATATAATATTCTTAAGTCTTCTTTTTTACATTTTCGACTCTTATTGCGAGGCTTGCTAATAATGTACACGCCGTTGGTGATATAGTTCAAATGTAGTTTAGGTAATATGCTTCGTGTTTTATTCACCTCCAGGTACTTTCCATTTTCCGTTTTCAGCATCTCTCCTCCTATGCTGTACTCTGTGTCCGGTCTTCTCTCGCCTTCTCGAATTCATATGTCATGGTATTTGGTTTGAACCCGGCAAGCCACTTGTTGGACTACATCTGCAATCTGTTGAGATTTTGGAGTTTATCAGTTTCCTTTCCAGCTTTTATTCTTCTCATTATGTTTACATTGTCCACAAACAGTGACACATAGGACTCGAGCCTCTCAATAGGTCATTCAGATATGTTAAATAGAAAAAGTAGCGGTTCTAATACTGATCCTTGCGGAACCCGACTTGTTACTTCTTCCCATTCAGATGTCTCTTCCCTTAATGTTATTCTCTGCCTTCTGTCATTCATATACTCCTTGATTCACTGCAACACTGCTTTTTAACCCTGCCTGGTCCTGTACTAATAATTTGTGGACTAATTAATCTCTGGTGTGGTACTATCTTGAAGGTATTCCTGCAGTTTATGTAGATGTAATCCACCCAACCCTGTCTTTTTTGTTTTATTTCCGTGACCCTGTCGTTTAACTCCAGGAGATTCGTTAGGCAGGATTTTATGTCCTTAAATCTGTGCTGGTTTTCTATAAAGAATCTTCTTTCTAAAAGCACCAATATCTTTCTCCTTACTATCTTCTCCAGAACTTTTGACAATAAGCATGTCAGAGACAGTACTTTGTAATTCAGTGCCTCTCGACTGTCCTCCCTTTATATTTATAGAGAACATTTTTGCCTTTTTCCGGTTTTCTGGGCAGTTGTCCTAATTGGAGAGATTCATTAAACGCTTTTGTTATTGCATCGCATAACACATAGACATGTTTTTGGGCCCGTTACATTTGTCTTATCAAGCTCACTTTGTACATTTAAAACTTATGTTGTGCTGACACTTTTTATCAGGTGTGGATGTGTTGTGACTGCAGTAGCCTGTGGCAGCTCGTCTCTCACTCTCTTATGTCAACAACTCTTTTAGTCCTTTGCTAAGCACCTCGCATACTTCTGTTATTTTCCGTTAACGACCTTATTTGTGTACTCATCTATATGTAGTTGCAGGGGTCAAATCACAGCTCCTCTGTGTGGGTGGGGGGGGGGGTAATGAGTGACAGGATGTACTCGAGGATAAAACAATCACAGGAAACTGCCTTCGTCACACCCTCCACACACCCTCCCCTACCCTCCATACCCTCCACATACCCTCCACATACCCTCCACATACCCTCCACATATCCTCCACATACCCTCCACATACCCTCCACATACCCTCCACACACCCTCCACATACCCTCCACTACCACCCTCCACACATCCTCCACAAACCCTCCACACCCTCACACATCCTCCCCAAACCCTCCACATACCCTCCACATACCCTCCACACATCCTCCACAACCCTCCACATACCCTCCACACACCCTCCACATACCCTCCCACACACCCTCCACATACCTCCACATTCCCCACACACCCTCCACAAACCCTCCACATACCCTCCACATACCTACCATTCCCTCCACACACCCTCCACATACCCTCCACATACCCTCCATATACCCTCCACATACCCTCCACACACCCTCCACCACCCCCACAAAACCCTCCACACAAACCCTCCACACACCCTCCACATACCTCACATACCCTCCACATACCCTCCACACACCCTCCACATACCCTCCACACACCCTCCACATACCCCCCCCACACACCCTTCCACACACCCTCCTCACACCCTCCACACACCCTCCACACACCCTCCACACACCCTCCCCACACCTCACACCCCCCACAACACCCTCCACAACCCTCCACAACTCTCCAAACCCTCCACATACCTCCAAAACACCCTCCACACCCTCCACACCCTCCACACACCCTCCACACACCCTCCACACACCCTCCACACACCTCTCACACCCACACACCCTCCACACACCCTCCACACAACCCTCCACACACACTCCACACCCCTCCACATCCACATACCCCCCACATACCCCATCACCTCACATACCACACACTCCACACACCCTCACACACCCTCCACACACCCTCCTCTACCTCAACATACCCTCCACACACCTCCACACACCCTCCACATACCCTCCACACACCCTCCACACACCCCTCCACATACCCTCCACATACCCTCCACAACCCTCACATACCTCACCCCTCCACACACCCTCCACACACCCTCCACACACCCTCCTCACCCTCCACATCACCCTCCACAACCCTCCACACACCCTCCACATACCCTCCACATACCCTCCACAATACCCTCCACCCTACCCTCCACTACCCTCCACATACCCTACTACCTTCCACACACCCTCCACATACCCTCCACATACCCTCCACATACCCTCCACATACCCTTTCCCCATACCCTTCCACATACCCTCCACATACCCTCCACTACCCTCACATACCCTCCACATACCCTCCACATACCCTCCACATACCCTCCACACACCTCCACATACCCTCCACATACCCTCCATAACCCTCCACACACCCTCCACACCCTCCACACACCCTCCACACACCCTCCCCACACCCTCCACATACCCTCCACTACCTCACACACCCTCCACATACCCTCCACATACCCACATACCCTCCACATACCCTCCCCACACCCTCCACATACCCTCCACATACCCTCCACATACCCTCCCCATACCTCACCTACCCCACATACCCTCACATACCCTCCACATACCCTCCACACACCTCCACACACCTCCACACACCCTCCACATACCCTCCACATACCCTCCACATACCCTCCACATACCCTCCACACACCCTCCACACACCCTCCACACACCTTCCACAAACCCTCCACACACCCTCCACAACCTCCCCAACCCTCCACACACCCTCCACATACCCTTCACACACCCTCCACACACCCTCCACATACCCTCCACACGCCCTCCACATACCCTCCACACACCCTCCACACACCCTCCCTACCTCCACATACCCTCCACATACCCTCCACATACCCTCCACAATACCTCCACATACTCCACACACCCTCCACACACCCTCCACATACCCTCCACACACCCTCCACACACCCTCCACACACCCTCCACACACCCTCCACACACCCTCCACACACCCTCCACACACCCTCCACATACCCTCCACACACTCCCCCACACACCCTCCACACACCCCCCACATACCCTCCACACACCCTCCACACACCCTCCACACACCCTCCACATACCCTCCACAAAACCCTCCACAACCCTCCACATACCCTCCACACACCCTCCACACACCCTCCACACCCTCCACATACCCTCCACATACCCTCCACATACCCACAACCCTCCACATACCCTCCACACACCCTCCACACACCCTCCACACACCCTCCACACACCCTCCACACACCCTCCACATACCCTCACACACCTCGCAACCCTTCCACACCCTCCACACACCCTCCACACACCCTCCAAACCCTCCACACACCCTCCGCACACCCTCCACATACCCTCCACACCCCTCCACATACCCTCCACACCCTCCGCACCCTCCACATACCCTCCACACACCCTCCCACACCCTCCACATACCCTCCACACTACCCTCCACATACCCTCCACAACCCTCCGCACATACCCTCCACATACCCTCCACACACCCTCCGCACACCCTCCACATACCCTCCACACACCCTCCACATACCTCACACCCTCCGCACACCCTCCACATACCCTCCACACACCCTCCATATACCCTCCACAACCCTCCACACACCCTCCACAACCTCCACGTCCCTCACACACCCTCACAACCCTCACACACCCGTCCACATACCCTCCACACACCCTCCGCACACCCTCCACCATACCTCCAACACCTCCACACACCCTCCACACACCCTCCACACACCCTCCACACACCCTCCACACACCCTCCACACACCCTCCACATACCCTCCACACACCCTCCACATACCCTCCACAACCCTCCACATACCCTCCACATACCTCCACACCCTCCACACACCCTCCACACACCCTCCACATACCCTCCACTTACACCCCTCCCACATACCCTCCACACACCCTCACACACCCTCCACACACCCTCCACATACCCTCCACACACCCTCGCACACCCTCCACACATCCCTCCACACCCCATCACACACCTCCACACACCCTCCACACACCCTCCACACACCCTCCACACACCCTCCACACACCCTCCACACACCCTC